CTGGAAAATTTAAGGAGTTATTATTATGTACGTTTAGATGATACAACCGGTAGGATACTTTTGCACGTTACTGTAAGCAGCTCATAACATTTCAAATAAGTCTAAATTCATCTAGTTAAGTTAAGTAGTTGTGGAAAAACATGATTTTTTGCTACCACCATTTTTTCCCCCGAGATATAGCGTTCCTATATAATTATCGGTTAGGAATATCCGTCTCTTGGAATATTCTCGTGGCATTACGATTATTATTCGCTTAAGATGAGACGTGTGTTTGAGTGGATACAAGTATACTTCAACTTATAGGTTCCGAAGTAATCCAATCGGAAGGGAATAGTCGATTAAAATAACCGTCTCGGATTAGTGTCCACAAGGTCATGAGTAGTAAAGCCCAATTTAAAGGTCGCTAACTGTTACTATATTTAACTAAAGTAGGAGAAGCCACAGCTCCGTTCGAATTCCTAGGGTTAACGATCAATTGCTCTCCCGCGATTGTTGACTCGACACCTAACATCAATATCAAAATGTCTCTATTCTTTTATTTATTAACCCATTACTTAATTATTCCACAACTACCGTATGCCCTCCGCAGATAATGCATTATAGTAAAGCTAACTTTCTTGCTTTGGTAAATTAATACGGTCAACCCTATCTATAATCGCCGTATCTTGTAATCCACTGAAAGCAACTACATAGTATCGAAGATATTCTTTTCTTTCGTCAACATTAATGCTTTGCAAGAATAACATCAGCCTGGTATCATTAACGTCTTCTTCTTAACTGCCCAGCATTTTTTGAGCCATTTGTCAAACGAATCGACATCTGAGTTAAAATATTTCGACCGCTGAATAGTCGCTATGCTTCTAGAGAAATTGTGAGTATCAGTTTTTGCGAAATGTAAGTGGCAATTTATGGCTTTCGACAATTTTGGATTTGAACCGGGACTATCATTCGAACATTGGGAATTAACCAGCACACGTGTCAGCTGACATCACACGATAATAACTCAAGGGAAAGAACCACTTTATGCTTGTAATCTTGCCCATATTGTACCCAGTGATATTGTTATGACTATTTTTTAGTATAAACTTATTCAGTATTTACAAGCGACGATGGCATAAATTAGGCGCGGTACATGATAGAGAACTCCAAGATGAGGATTTTCAGAAATGTGGGAAATGAGAACTAAAAATTTCATGGTTTTTACATAACTCAAGTTCTGTGACATAACGACCGATAGTAAAAGGAGACTTCTTCTTAAATGAAGCGTCCGTTAAACGCGTATTACAAGGGCAAAGCCGTTAACCCAAAGGTGCTTGTGCAGCAAATTTTCTTCATAATATTGAGGTTTGTGAATTGCGGGTTTACTCTATAAACCGAAGGCATATTCAGGGAAAATATATATTGAATTAACGGGATGAAAGCTTTATTCAGACTAACTGGGATTAGACCTTAGAGTCGGAACAAACTACTGCCGATGGCTTCTTTCGGTGCAAACTTGCAGAACAATTGTTGGGTGATAATGACAAGTAGTATTGGTATTGTTGTTTTTTCAAAATGTAAAAAATAGTCGAGCCTAGCTGGACGTTATTGTTGGATTTATAATCACTTTGCAAATTTCAATTTTTTTTTTGAGCAGGTGTAATTGTCGTATATTTTCTTTTTAAGACTTTTTCTGAATGCTAGTTTACTGATCGATCTGCCTATGTTAATGTAATCCATCTTTGTATAGAGATAAGAATATTTTAAAAAAGTATGTTGATAGATTTATTTGGGTCAACATTCGGCTTTACAAAACCATATCAATTTGGATAGTCTATTACTATTGGCTTTTAACTGTTAATATTAATATTAACATGCGTTGACCTCGTAGTATTAGACATCATGAACAAAAAGTGGCGTGATCATCAGAAATTTCGATCGACAACAAGATGTCTTTTCTCCATACATTCGCAAAGAGAACATTTTCTCAGAATCGGTCAATATTATACAGATCATTTGTGTCATCGGTAATAAGACTTATATTGCGTAATTATAACATCATAAGCGAAATTTGACTCATTATCTGTGGGCTTTATGATCATTACCTCAGGAGCATCCGTTGTGGAAATTGGGACGTCTTAATCATGTTGCAATAGCAGTGCCGGATCTGGAGAAATCAAGAAACTTTTACAAAAATGTTATGGGCGCCGAGTCTGTTAGTGAGGCTGTTGTAAGTGATGAACAAAAACATAAGAGAGAGAGACAAGAAGAGTGAAAGTTAAGGTGTGGAGATAGAAGATGGAGGTAGAAGATGGAGGTAGATAGCAGCGGAGTTTTAGATAATTCTGTGCTCTGTAACTTGTTTTATGCTGACTAAGCTTGATCCAATAGCCTCAGCCTGAACATGGGGTCTATACAGTGTTTGTCGGCCTTGGGAATACTAAAATCGAACTTTTGGGAGAATATGGTGACAATTCACCTATAAAGAACTTTCTGGAAAAGAATAAAACGGGGGGCATTCACCATATTTGCATTGAAGTAACAGCCTACTCTGATCACTAAGTAAGTCAATTGTCGCTTGTAGATTATTTGTGCTTATATCCTTTAACTTTTAATAGGTAGACGATGTTTCATCGGCAGTTCAAGATCTCACGAAACAAGGCATCAGATCTCTTGATCCTAAGCCAAAGATTGGAGCACACGGAAAACCAGTGGTCTTTTTACATCCAAAGGACTGTGGGGGCGTTTTACTTGAATTGGAACAAGCATGAATATACGTTCGATAGTATCAGTTGTATATCATCATTATCAATATTAACTTGTTCACTTTTTTAATTTTAGTTAAGGCTTTTTAATTGTTCTTTATTTTCAGTGGAGATATTCAAGTTATCGATGATTAAGAATGGTGGTGTATAATATGTTTGAACAATGTTCGAATCCTTTTTCTACGAAGATATAATTGGGGAGATCTGAAGTAACCGACAACGTATTTACGTGGGGTGGTTGAAAAGTTTTGATCGTGGACATTTATCTCAACAACTGCCCAACATATTTAAAAACAGAAACTATAGTTGCAAGCCTGAGGTTCCAATGGACAGCTGAAAAATAAGTTGGCATGAATTTGACCCGTAATTGTCGGGTTATGTACATTTGTCGACGGTGCCCTAAAACAATTGGAAAATAACCATGGTTAGAAAGAATGGAAATTTCTAATTCGTTATAGAAATTAGGAACGACATTGATAATTTCTCTGAACACGCCATATAACAAACCCTCATGACTTGCAAAATTTCATCGCAATCCGATGTCTGCAACAAATGTTTCAAACACCCGACATTTGATTTTAGAATACTGCAAATCACTTTCATATGCATTATACCATTATGAATATAATCTTTATAAATTCCTATCTTCATACATTTCTAAGCAATTTGCATGATCTTTTTTTTTCCTTTCGTTGTTCAAACAATCTTTAGGAACTGCATGGAATTCGGAATTAAGTTGAAATCTCAATCACGTGATTTTTTACATCGTAAGTCCGAACTTGTGCAAATCTCTAAGACAAATAAAAGAAGAAGAAAAAGATTACAAGAATGTGCATAGAAGACTGTGGAGAAATGAATTTTTGAAATTTATGTTTAAATCGTTTTTTTTTAGTGTACTATGAAAAATGGATGCTACTCAACAACCAACATGTCAACTCGCACCAACTTTTTTTCCACTCGTTCCTCAAAACCTCAATCTTTGAATCTTTCTCGGTAAGACCAGCACTTGTCAAGATAAAAATCCATGATCAAAACTTTTCAACCACCCCACGTATATGTACTTGTTCACGATAGCGTCAATGCACCATGAAGTAATAGTTGCGTACTTTTTTTTTTCGCTAGTAATTCGCACAAAGGTTGTGATCTTTGAGTAATTTTTCGGTTTATCACACATACTGTAATTACACATTTACGAGTAATTTAAGCCAGCGATACATGTATGATCACGATCTTCAGTAGTTTCTTCTGTTCTTCATTATAAATTTACAATAAAATCACGTTTGTTCATTACCATTGTCAAATTTCCGGTAAAGCCTCTCTAGATCCATATACGTATTTTGCCAAGCAGTACGTCTTTTCAGAGATATTATGCCAAGCCTGTGTTAAGGATTGGATTGTATCATAATTGTAATAAGAAGAATGGTTTCGGAAAATGCAGCGATTTGACAGTACTCCCAATATTGACATTCAATAATAAAAACTAATGCTGTGACATGTTTCGATTTTATACAGCTTACTTTACGTAAGAGGTACATAAAGAAGTTGCTAATGGGAAGCCATTTCATTGATGAAAATATCAATATAGTACTAATATTAAGGAATAAATGAGAGATGGAGGAGCAGTGACATGTTTCAATGGTGTAAGACTTTATTTATAGACTACATATAAATGCTTAATATTAAGCTAGTTCGCATGTTTCATGATAATCGGGATATCCGAATAATCGGGAATTTACCTGCCATGTCGCACAACCTGCCAGGTCGTGCAAGCTCAAATATCATCCTCTCAGATGGCTTCTCCTCTATAAATAGAAATATTTATGGACTGTACGACGTGTCGGGTTGTGCGACCTGGCAGGTAAATTCCTGATAATGATATCCGATCTGTTACATGGCGGAATATTTTCTTTTTTAGGATAGTATAGAAAATCTTTCGCCGTGTAACATGAAAAATCCTTACACCGACATGGTTAACTCAGACGTTTTCTAAATTTAGAATTTCATCGACATGTGGTAAGCAATTATCAACGATAGAAGAATCTTTCGACGACCACGACGCATACATTATCGTGTTCCTCTCGGTGACCGTGGGGCTTCTCCCTTTGTATTACGTGCTAACATTATTGTTATGGTAACGCGCTGCTTTGTTTTTTTTGTACCTGACATATGACGATGGGCAAGAGATTTTGACGGTTTGTAGAAATTGGTAAAACCGTATCCCACCAAAATTCCGATAATTGTTCAATTGGGGCACTAGCGAATAAATCCTTGCAGCCATCGGTCCGATATATTGAATCTTTGAATTTTTGCAACTCGTCTTGATTTTTCTTGTAATCATCAAGTTTTTTTCCAGTGCGAGGTCGAACCAGCGAGCAACTATTTGTTCTTGCGGATGAGCGGGCAATCGATATCATTTAGAATGTGCAGTTATCTCATCGAACAGAACATCTATCGTGCTGTTAGAGAAATTGTTTCCTACCATTGATAATTTCACATGTTCATGTAACAGTGCTGTGCGAATCTGCGGTTTATATTTAATATTTTATTCCAAGAAGAGTTTACATGAGGTTACTAAATAGACCACTGATAAGTAAACAAGGCTATTGGCAATAGTGTTGAATACCAATCAGAGTGCTTGACATAATTAAGATTAATTTACGCGAATGACACATTCATCAACTATTCGAGAGTAAAATAAATAGGTTCTTATTGAAAACATAATCATAATAACATGGCATAAATGAAGAGCTATTTTATTTCCCTAATCTTATTAAAAATATCATAATAATAGTAATTAAAACTTTTGACGTTATGAAATAAATATATTATCGGAAACATGTGATCGTAAAAGACAATCAAATTTTTATAGTCGCTAGATTGTTATTAAAAAGTTAATAACATTGTTGAAATTCAACTTGCACACAACAAAGAAAATTAATTTGCCATTCCTACCTGCGACAGTTGAATGAGGATACCGACAGTTTCTTGATTCATACTGATGCCCCGTAGGTAACAATCTACTAGAGTATTTACTTTCTTTTTCCTGGAAAGTTAGAGGTTTCAAATGGTTATTCACGTAGACTTTGTTCCATATATTGTCATCAGATTTATCATTTTCTACTTCAAG